CTGAGATGACTTTACTTTTACAGTGTAATTGAATAATGGTAGCCAATAGACAAATGACTTACATATTTAATCATTGTTTTAATAAACTTGCATTATGTCTGGCTCACTTTTCACGTACTTTTATGGAGAAAATTAAGTCCTGCATTTTTTTCTCATTGAATATCCTGTTTTTCTCAGATATATGTCAGATTAAGAAAGGAGAATGGGCTGCAACTGGCGTTTCATGTTTTGTTTTCATACAACAGGAAGTGCTTTGGGATGAACAGTTTTCCAGTCGGCATAACAGGAAGTGAGATTTTGGTCATTAAGCTCTCTTTAATGAACATTAATGGTTCTCTTTCAAAAGTTCAGGGACGGTAAGATTTTTTTATGTTTTTGAATGAAGTCTCTTCTGTTCACCAAGGCTGCATTTATTTGATTAAAAAATACAGTAAAATCAGTAATACTGTGAAATACTATTACAATTTGAAATAACTGTTCTTTGTTTGAATATATGGTAAAATGTCATTTATTTCTGTGATCAAAGCTGTATTTTCAGCATCATTACTCCAGTCTTCAGCGTCACATGATCTTCAGAAATCATTCTAATATGCTGATTTGCTGCTCAAGAAACATTTCTGATTATCATCAATGTTGAAAACAGTTGTGCTGCTTCATATTTTTGTGGAAACTGTGATACATTTTATTTTTCATTATTCTTTGAAGAATAGAAAGTTCAAAAGCACAGCATTTATTAGAAATGGAAATCTTTTGTAACATTATAAATGTCTTTACAGTCACTTTTGATAAATTTAATGCATCCTTGCTGAATAAAATGATTAATTTCTTAAAATAAAACATCTTACTGATTCAGACTCTTTTAGACTAAAGACATAATGTGATCCAGGAGATAATTTTTATGGCACAGAGGCTTCACCCAAACTAACCCAGGCTGTTCCTGTCAACTGTGGTTGTGTACTGTAATAGTGTTGTTATTCCAGTGAGGTAATGGCAGATGGAGCTCTTTCTAGCAGTCGTGTTGGTATCATGACCTGCTGTCTGTTGTCACTCGACAAGCAATGGAAATATGCGGTTTCATCACACCTCTCCCAGGATTCAAGAAAAAACTCCATGAAGTTCTGAGGAGAGAGATAATTGAGCTGAATGAGGAGCCAGACTTACTGCTGTAGCTGCCATGTTTGACATGTATTTGGAATAGTTGTGAATGTTCTCACAATCTCTCGGATAACAAAATGACAGTGAGAAATAAACAGTCTAATTTTTGTTTCTTCATTCATGCATTTATTATTGTTATTTTTGGAGCTCTGGACTTTGGAGCTTGAAAGCTTAAAGCAAATCATGGTGCTGGAACCAGAATGTTGCAATTGTCAAAAATATATATATATTTTTTTTTTTTGCTGCATCATAAAAAAACCATTGCACACATACTGTTATCTTCAAAGAGTCCTTTATAGATCAGGACAGTAATTTGCATCATGTTCTACCAGGAAATCATCTAATGTTACATTTCCTTCAACTTCATAATAGAAAGGTTGTGTTAAAAGAAATGTTCATCCAAGAAGCTATTTAATTTTCTTATGTGGAACTTAAGGAATGTAGCATTGCATCAGTGTCTCAGCAATGGATGCTCTGCAGTGAATGGGTGCCGTCAGAATGAGAGTCCAAACAGCTGATAAAAACATCACAATAATCCACAAGCAATCCACACCACTCCAGTTCATCTTGTGAAGCCAAAAGCTGCGTGTTTGTAAGAAACAAATCCATCATTAAGGTGTTTTTAACTTCAAACCCTTGCTTCTGGCTAAAAAACGAGTCCATAATCCATAGTGTCGCATCCTCCAGCAGAAGTCCATCCGAATCTTAAATGGCCTGAGGGTTTATTTTTGGGAATTATTCCTTTAATAAAAAATGGAATGGCGCATAGACCCGCCTCATCTGACGTTTCATAATGAATTTATAAAAATGACACTGAAACTTGGGATTTGACCCCATGTTGACTCAAGAAAACCTGAGTTTCCACTTTAAACTGTTCATCTGTTATCGTTCTCAAAATAATGCTTCATGGCTCATTTGCACCATCTGCTGGTAACTTACTTTACTATAAACACATCCTTTGCATTGGTTAAGAGACAACAAATTATTATTGTTGTTATTTTTAGCTTGAAAAGGCCACACACATTCATTTTTGAAATAATGAATTGTTTCTCCATTTAAATCAGACTGTAGGCCTAAATATGCTTCCATCTACACACAGCTTCAACAGCCTCTTTATGTGTGTAACCTTTCTGAAGGATCACGTGACACTGAAGACTGAAGTAATGATGGTGAAAATTCAGCTTTGATCACAGGAATATATTACATTTGAAAATATATTCAAACAGAAAACAGTTATTTTAAACTGTAACAATATTTCACAATATTACTGACTTCACTGTAGTTGTTGTATATATGCAGTATTTTGTATGAGTAAATGCAGGCTTGGTGATCATATTTTCAAAGGAACACAAAAAAAATTCAGAAATATTAAAAAATCTGACTAATCCCAGTTATCTGTTAAAAAGATTTTAATCTTTTCAAATATAATAAAATTTAGTATGATCACTTATTCCTTTATATAGTTTAATAAGTACAGGTCAGAATAAGTATGTTGTTTCATTTGTACATAAATATATCTGTTAAACTGGAACATTATTTCACCCATATTTTGACGTTTTATTTTCACAAATGTTTTTTGAAACATTAAACTAGACTTTACATGCATTCAATATTTTTTCTATGCATATAAAATAAGTAAATTTAATTTGATGCAGACACCAAAATAGGATGTGTGACCCTATTTGCATGCACTTAAGTTAAAATGCTGCAATTAGATAAAAACATCAAACCAAGTTTAAGTTGTTAGGTCTCACTTGGTTTTATAATGTTTTGTAATTTAATGCAATGCAATTCATACATAAGTGTGACTTAATAGCTTAAAATATTTTTTGCAGTGACTGTATCTGAAATGTTTTTCTGTGACACCATTGGGATTCTTTATGAATCACACTGCTGATTCTTGTGGATTGTGATGGCATTCACTTTGTATCCTTCTTATTGACTATATCTGCAAATAACTCGGGCTCAGTCTGCAGAACTGGTCTCAGATCAGCTGCACACAGTCAGTACTGTGTGGTCAGTGGCTGATAGCAGACATGTGTGCGGTCTCGTCCAGATGTTAAGGTCAGTTCTCGTTCCAGGTGAACTCTAATTAGCTTCACTTCCTCCCTACAGTCACTGCTTGCGCTCTGCAGTTTCCCCACAATAAAAAACGGGCATCCATACTAAAAGATCTAAGGCCACCCAAAACCATCCCAGTGTGGAAATGAATGCGAACGTTTATTGGGAGCAGCAGCCATTTTATGAACGGCCATTGACAGATGCAGCAGAGTGATTTATTCCTCTGGCTCACCGGCGTCTCCTGTGGGAAACCTTACAGAATATTGAGGTTATAGAGGATGTAAAACAAACCCACAGTGTCATCATGTAAGCCCTGTAAAAGCACAGGAACACGGCGCCTCGGAACTGTTAAACTAGGTGGTTCCTCGCGTTCCTGAAGAGTAAGGGGCCGTTCACATGGAACCACTCTTGCGTTCCAGAACAGCTGGACAAAGCAGATCACTGTGTGTCCTTTAACTTTACACAGTATTTGAAACACCCAGATTTTCAATCTTAAATTCAGTCACAATATGACATTTCCTTGTATCTTTGCACATACTTTGCAGAGTATAGTCACTGACAGGATAAAGGCGAGGTGGACCACATGGAGAAAAATATCCATCCATTCTCATTTATCCATATATCCTTCATTCTATTGTCCTTTCTTTCTTTCTTTCGTTCTATTGTTCATTCTTTCTTTATATCATTTGTTGGTTCATTCATTTTTTTTCTATCTACTGTTTGTTCTATCATCAATTCTTTCTACTGTTGATTTGTTCTCTCTTTCTGTCTATTGTTTGTTCTATCGTCCATTCTTTCGTTCTTTTTTCATTTAATCTATTGTCCGTTCTATCATCCATTCTTTCATTCTGTCCATCATTTGCTCTTTCTGTTGTTCATTCTGTCATCTCTTCATTTTTACTATTATTTGTTGCTTCATTCGTTCTGTCTATTGTTCATTTGTTCTTTCTATTTGTGGTTTGTTCTATTATGCATTCTTTCTATTGTTCATTCGTTCGCTCTTACTATCCATTGTTCATTCTGTCATCCATTCTCTTTATTCTATCCATTGTTTGTCCTTTATATGTATCGTTCATTCTGTCTTCCATTTTTTCTTTCTGTCATTCATTCTTCTATTGTTCGTTCAATTTATCGTCCATTTTTTCTATCGTTCAGTTATCTTCATATCTATCTATCATTCTATTGTCCATTCTTTCATTCTACCCATCGTTCATTTTATCTGTTTGTATTTCTATCATCTATTCTTTCATTCTGTTGTTGGTTCATTCTTTCTTTCTATCTGTCATTTGTTCTGCTGTCCATTCTTGTTCTATTGTTTGTTCTATCTATCATTTGTTTGTTCTTTTTATCTCCCATTCTTTAGTTCTATCATTTTATTCATCATTTGTTACTTCTTTCTATGTATGGTTCATTCATTCTATCTTTCATTCTATCATTCTATCCATTGTTCATCCTATAATTCATTGTTCCATTCTATATACAGTGGGTACGGAAAGTATTCAGACCCCCTTAAATTTTTCACTCTTTGTTATATTGCAGCCATTTGCTAAAATCATTTAAGTTAATTTTTTTTCCTCATTAATGTACATACAGCACCCCATATTGACAGAAAAACTGCGTACAGTGCATCTCTCTCACACACACACTCACACACACACACACAAACACACAGACACACACACACACACACAGTGTTCTGCGTGCAGTGCGTCTCTCTGGCTCACATAAATAAATAAATAAATAAATGTATTTAGAAACGTTGCAGTCTTTATTGCACAGTAATACATACAGTACATACTTCAATTATTGAAACAGGCATATCTGAAATCTGTAAAAGTTGTGAAATCTTATTTTGACTGCAAGGCACCATGATAATATTTACTTTTAATTGCAATTAAGGTAGATGGGTGGGTCACAGCGAGCTGCCATGAGCATTGTTCAGTGCTCAGATCTGTACACTTTTCTAACAACAGACGTTTAAAACAGTTTATCAGTTAATACAGCCTTCAGTATATATGTAGTAATATAAGTTATAACAGACAACAAAAAAAGACTTGTTTAAATGTTTATGAAGCTGTAACGCCACCTTGTGGACACATCCAGGAACTGCAGGAACTGAGCTGCAGTGCAACACAACCTGAGCTAGCTGTTTGGAAATAAAAATAGACCCTGTTAAATACAGCTTATTCATTTATTAATTCAGTCATTTATGGAACATTTCAACATTTTTGTGTTCTTGACTTGTATGTAAACATGTAAATTGCACATAAGTTTTTGAACTTTTTAATAATATAATTAATGGTTGGTGGCTGTAATAACTTATTTTCATGACAGATTTATTCAGAACGGCATTTATTGTTTGAATTGCTGAAATTTGGGTGCATCACTAAAATAAGGTTTTACGCTTGCCTTTTTGTCCAGTCGAGTAAAATGCAGGAAATGATTGGCACCACAGATCACTGTAAGACTTCAAACACTCGGTCAGCTTCTGCTCTCAATGCTCAGCTTCTCTGTATTCCAGAGGACCTGTAGACACAAACAATACTCGTTTAGTACAGTAAATTCAACTGAGATCAACTAAACGAGTATATTGATGATAGTAAAGTCTAGCTGGCATTCTATGTTTAGTCTAGGTGTGACTAGATGAAGAGTGAGATCCTGTGCATGCTGAGCTTGCTTTTACAAGTTCAGGATTATCCCTAGAAAGCATTAAGAAGCTGTGTTTGTACGTGTCTGTGTGAATGTCTGCAATGCCACTGTCACGACTGCACATTTGGAGGATGGCATCAAGCAACACTGACTTGAATGCAGAAGCCAAGCATGTTAAAGTATGAGAGCAAGTACCCAAAATCCCCTTGAAAGACTTTCTGTAATGTTATAGAAAAAAAAAACTCTGTTTGGAGTTTTCTAACCTCACTGAAGGATCCATCCTCTCCCATAATGCACCAGGATTCCTCTATGACCTTCGTTCCCAGGAGAAGACCTTCATTAAATGCTCATATGACATCTTTCATGGTTCAGCTGCAGGTCAGTTGGTCTATTTTCTCTGATATAGGTGGAAGTGTTCCTTAACAACATAAAACATGATTCCAAGTTACTGTAAACACCAGTCAGTGACGTTGTTCAGTTTGAATATTTTAACTGAAAAATATAAAATGTAAAGACATGATGAAGATTTGTAAAAATGTTTTTGAAAGAAGTCTCTAAATATGCAGGACAAAAATACAGCAAAAATATAATTTCAATTTTAAATAACTGTTCTATATTTGAATGTATTATAAAATGCAATTTATTTCTGTGATCAAATCTGAATTTTCAGCATCATTACTCCAGTCTTCAGCGTCACATGATGACAGAAATCATTCAAATATGCTGATTTGCTGCTCAAGAAATATATTGTTGTCTGGATTCTTTGATGAATAGAACGTTCAAGTTCAAAGCATTTATTTGAAAATCATTTGTAACGTTATCAAAGTCTTTGCTGTCACTTTTGATCAATTTAATGTGTCCTTGATAAATAAAAGTATTAATTAAAAAATAAATAAATCTTTGAATGGTGTTGTTTAGCACAGTTTCAACAATTTCAACATTGATAATAATCAGAGTTGTTTGTTGAGCAGCAAATCAGCATATTAGAATGATTTCTGAAGATCATGTGACACTGAAGACTGGAGTAATGATGCTGAAAATTCAGCTTTGATCACAGAAATAAATTCCATTTTAACAGATACTCACATAGAAAACACTTATTTTAAATTGTAATAATATTTAACAATATTACTGTTTTTTAATCAAATAAATGCAGCTTTTGTGAGCAAAAATATTTAAAAATCTTAAAAAAAAGTTTTATTTATTATTCAGATTAAAACAGATTTAGTCCATGCTATAACAATATTACCGTTTTTTTTATCAAATAAATGCAGCTTTTGTGAGCAAAAATATTTAAAAATCTTAAAAAAAAGTTTTATTTATTATTCAGATTAAAACAGATTTAGTCCATGCTATCTTAGACTTTTAAAGAAGGCAAATGAATCAAAATGTCCAAATGACATGATATTAAATCTATTGTCCGTGTTGGTCATTCTCTCGATACCTTGAGCAGGACGGCAGAGAAGCAGCTGCACCTCTGAAGGAGAATTCCTCAGTAACTGCAGCACTTGCTGTGAGGTCAGAGGTCACAGGCCAAATATAAGTTTAACAGTAGTCATCTTTTCATTTAATACAATTCGGAATAACTGCACCATATTTAATAGATCCTGGCCCTTCACATTGTTTAAACTGCATGTTTAGTAATATTCCTATGGATGGAATGGATGAAGAAATGCTTCACTGTTACCTGATAGGACAAGCCCTTGAGTGGCTCTCCGTTAATGGACAGAATGACGTCTCCTTCCCGAATCTTGCCGCTCTCCTCTGCAGGCTGACCTGGGAACAGTTTTCTGATTCGCACGATGGAGCCGGAGTCGAGAGACGTGTCCAGCTCTGTGATGAAGAAGCTGAAGCCCAGACCGTTCAGTCTCTTCTTAAGAGTCACCTCCTGAATGTTATCTGGGGACAGAATTAGACCGATTCAAGCCAGCCTTGTGGGGGGTTTGTCACATTTCCTGAAGCACAGTGCACTGCGTGTATAATAAATTACATTTTACGATTTTTCAATGATTCAAAGGTTTTAAGACCAATTTTGCACAAATCACGGATAAAAAAAAAAAAATCCTAATTAATGATTCAAAGCAAGGTTTGAATGGTGGGAGATAAAGCTATATGAACCCTGATATTTTGATGCACCAACATTATTATTATTATTTTTGGTAACACTTTACAATAAGGTTCATTAGTTAACATTAGTTAAGTACTTTAGTTAACATGAAATCAGAATGAACAATACTTCTACAGCATTTATTAATCTTAGTTAATGGTAATTTCAACATTTACTAATGCATTATTAAATTAAAAGATGTGCTTGTTAATATTAGTTAATGCACTGTGAATTAACATGAACTAACAATGAATAAATGTATTTTCATTAACTAACATTAACAAAGATTAATGAATGCTGTAATATATGTATTGTTCCTTGTTTGTTCATGTTAGTTAATACATTAACATTAACAAATGGAATCTTATTGTAAAGTGTTACCTATTTTTCTTATAAAGAAACATTTATTGACTAGTTTAGCATTATTTTATATCACAATTTAAAAAAGAAACAACAACAAAACTGCTTATTAATATTTGAAAAGGACAATTTGACATTTGATGACAATATATATTTTATTAATTTCTGACCAGGCAAGATGAGTTCAGTTTCTAAAATTTAAGTACTTTAGTTAACATGAAATCAGAATGAACAATACTTCTACAGCATTTATTAATCTTAGTTAATGGTAATTTCAACATTTACTAATGCATTATTAAATTAAAAGATGTGCTTGTTAATATTAGTTAATGCACTGTGAATTAACATGAACTAACAATGAGCGACTGACTGTATTTTCATTAGCTTACATTAACAAAGATTCATAAATACTGTAATAAATGCATTGTTCATGTTAGTTAATACATTAACTAACATTAACTAATGGAACCTTATTGTAAAGTGTCACCTTTTTTTTAATTTATCCTAAAATCAAAACTGAAAATAAACTTTTGTAATCAATGAATAAATACAATTTAAAAACACTCAAAAAAATACTGAGTTCATTGTATAAAAATAATTAAATTGCACATAAGGCATCAACTTATATAGGTATTATATATTAGGTATTTTTATACTTTAATTTGTAGTTGAAATCTAAACATTTAAACGGTAATAACTTGTTTTCATGACAGATTTATATAGTGAAAGTATAATGAATATGTAATATATTTAGCATATATATATATTTAGCAAAATGCTCCTCTCTAGAGTTATATTTTCTAGTTAACTATGGAGCTACGGAGATTGGCGTATCTGAGGTAAATGTAATATTATGTGACATTTTTTATTGACGTCTTTCTGTGGTTGAAACAACGAGCGATAACATGAGACATGATACGTTTTACTAAGTTGTACTATTTCTTTCAACACATTCTGATGTTCATTTATGCTTACTTTGTTCTGTAAAAATCTTCATTTGTGTTTTGAAGATGAATCTTATGTTTGCAGTAATCCATTAAGACCTCTGCATGTTCCCATGCCATTTAACAGTTTGTATGGTCATTCGAATGTTTTTGAAGGATGCAAAGACACTTCTCACACCTGAATGTACATTTTCTCACCTGCACGTAAACAACATTCATCCAAAGCTGCTGGTGAGTTCTGCAGTGCATGGTGCTTTTCTAAACAAACTCCCACTGCATCTTCTCATTACCGTGCGACACGAAGCTGTAGTCTCTGGACTTGAGGCCGAAGGGTCTGGTCATGGTGATGGCAGGGCAGCTGTTCCTCATCGGTGTCCCTGCAGGACTAGGTGTGCGGATGGTGAGTGTGTTTACAGGGCCTTGCTGCAGCACAGAGCCTCCGTCCCGCTCCAGCACCAGACTCACCACCTGACAGCGTTCAGATATTACCACTAACATCAGCTCAGCTGAAGCCTGACATTTGAAATAATACTTAGAAATATCCTTTCTTTTTATGTGATGCATCAGACTTCTATGGCTCATTTAGTGAGAACATGGAGCTCATATTTGAGGAGGAAAAAAAGGCCCAGACTGAGCAAAAATATACCATTTGGTGATATTTGATGTTGGCATTTATAGGCCAAAAATTAAGATGAAATTCTGATGCTTTTAATGTAAATCAACGGGATCTTTATAACAAAATAACAGCTACTTACATAAAATTATCTGCCAATAATGTCTTAGTAAGATGATATTTAAATGCTTAGTTTTATGATCAAAACATATGATGCAATGCAATACAGCGATGATTGAGAGGTGAACAAATAAACGTTCCTCAAAAGCCTGACGGTCATATTTGAGACTCGCATTTGAATTTCATTTTTTAGAAAAATCAAGTAAACCTTCAGTCCAGTAAGTGTTCATCTTTAAATATCACTAACAAAATAAAAGTTATTCTTATCTTTACTTTATAAAAATCAGTAAAGATTTGACAGCAAAAAAGACACGTGAAGCACGAGCTGAAGGTGGACGTTTCTACAATTATACTAAAAGGCCTTTTACTTGATAAAAAAGTCTAAACTATCAATTAGATGTCAGAAGGCATGGAGCAGATTGTTAGATACGTTTTAATCATTTAAGAGGCCTTAGAAATGTATCAAAAATTAAACCTTATTTTCTGATTTAAAGTAGACAAAATCTAAGTTCAGTACGCAATAATCGAATAGCTAGAAGCAAGCAGTGATCACAGCTGATTACGTAAAGATGGGACTAGTGTGTAGTTACCATGATAGAGAGAGAGAGAGAGAGATTACCTCTCCTGTTCTTGCCAAACATTCAGCCGCCTGCTGATCTGTGAATCCCTGCAGTCTGGTGCCGTCCACTTCCAACAGTCTGTCCCCTGACACACACACACACACACACACACACACGCACACACACACACAGACACACACACACACACACACACACACACACACACACACACACACACACACACACACACACACACACAAACACACACACACACACAAACACA